AAGGAAGGAAGGAAGGAAGGAAGGAAGGAAGGAAGGAAGGAAGGAAGGAAGGAAGGAAGGAAAAAAGAAAGAAAGAGCTTCTATGTTAAATTCTGCTGAGGTGACAGGTTTGTCAGTATTTTAGGTGATTGCTTTGTCTCCACAGTTACAGTCAGGCAAAGGTTGGGGAGCTATGAGTTGATGGAGCAGGTTCCAACCCAGACACAACACAGACAAGTAGAAGCATGGTAGGGCCACCAGAGCACTGTCTGTCCTGGAACACAGAGCAAAAAACTCACCAGAAGACCCTTCATAGTTCAGGACTAATTTTATTGACCAGAAAGGCATGGTGATTTAGTCTGGGTAGGAATCCAAATTTTTCCTATCTGGTGAGAAAGTCACAGTTTATTAGATGATAGATAGACACACAGACATTCAGTTAGAAAGACAGACAGACAGACAGACAGACAGAGATACCTAGATGCCACTTATCAGGCTTTGGTGATTGAGAGACTCGTCTCTGTGCTCCCCAGGATGCAGCCTCTCTTAGACATTGGAGCTCTGTAGCTCCTGCTGCCAGAGTACACATGTCCTGTTGGATAGCAGCTAGAGGTCTTTAGCTCACTCCACAGATTCTTGTTCACCATGAATGGAAGGGTACATGCTGGGCTCTCAACCATCCTAGATAATTCTGATGCAAGTGCCCTTCATGCTTGGGGAAGCCGCTGCCAATCATGAACTAGTATCAGTGCCATAAAGTGATCCTGTGGACCAATCCAAATATTCCACATACTTTGCATGACCAGCTGGTGGAAATTTCTAAAATCTAACTTCTTTAATGAATTGACCATAATTCCTTTTGGTCCCAACAACATCAAAGGTGATACAATTGCTCACCAAGAGGCAGTGTTGGGCTTGGGCTTCTTATTTGTGGAGCTAAAGTAATAAAAACTAGACGAGCTGTGTCCCTTCTGGGGAAATGATTCTCTGTAGGTAAAATGCTTGTTGAATGAGCTTGAGGGTCTGATTCATCCTCAGGATCCATATAGAAAGCTGAACAAAGAGCGGTTAAGGATGGCATTTACCTTTGTTTTCTACAGCATACATCCCTAGAGGGTTCGGGTGGCCTCTGCTCTTGCCGTGGGAGCTCTGGTGTGGGGTGGGTGGGTTGGAGTGAGGGGCACTGTGGTGGCATCGCACTGATCCTCCACGTAACCTTTCTGATAGTGCTCCTGGGAGAGGTGCGGCCTCTGTGTCCTCGTCCACCGAAAGACCACTGTTTCCGCTCTCCCTACTGCTGTTTGTATTCCCGCAGAGTTCATTAGGATGCACTGTACCTCCAACCCCGACTGGTGGATGCCCTCGGAGGAGCAGATCAACAAAGTGTTCAGCGATGCTGTGGGTCACGCCCGACAGGGCCGGGCAGTGGGAACTTTCCTGCACAACGGCGGCTCGTTCTACGAGGGCATGGATCACCAGGCGTCCCAGGATGAGGTCTTCAACAAGAGTTCGCAGGATGGATCTGGGGACTAGCGGACAGAATCCTCACCCTCCCAGTGGTGTTTTTGTGTGTTGTTTTGTTTTGTTAGGAGCTCCAGTTGTGAATGTCCATTTCCTTGTCACCCTAGGTACACAGCATGTCCTTCTGTCATACTTCACACATTCTCAGACCCTGCCCCCGCCACAGTTCCCAAACAGAAATCCACTTCGGGCTTTTCTGGGGTGTCTCTGGCACCTGCAGTAGATTTGGGGTATGTTATATTACCGAGGAAAGGTACAGTTGACATAAGTCATTACCGGCTAGACATTGAGGGTGTCTCCTGTCCCAAGTCTTCAGGTCAGCCTGGCCTCCTGAGCAGAGCTGGTCTCCTGGGAAGGTTCAGTTAGTGTTCCTGCACATGGGGGAAGGAAAGACACAGACTTGTTTTAAGGGACTAGCAACAAGCATTCTCTTACTTAATTCAACTAAGTTTTGTTTTTTTGATTTTCCAAAGACTTGAATTCAGCGTTCTCAGCAAAGACACAGGATAGGTGACCCTATAAGCGTTCATTCTTAATTAGAAGCCAGAGAACAGAGGCCGTGTCTGTAGGTGATTCAGTTGAGGTCATTCTCTTTTCCGTTATCTTCTAGACAGAACTCACTGTGTCGATCAGAAAGGCAGCCTGATTCTGCGGCTTACAAGCAGGACATTTTCTTTATATCTTTAGGAAACATCCAGAGATTCAGAACCGTTTTCCAATGCCTCCTTTCCTAAGTTCCTTGATGCACAGCTTCCATAGCCTTAAGTCAGCACAGTGCCAGTGGTGGGTTCAGTGAGAGGTCCCACCAGCCAGCTGTATGGTAAGACCAAACCCAGGCTGTGACCGATGGTATCTGCTGCTGATAGGGGTCTGGCATTGCAGACAGACATGCAGCTTCAAGGTCGATCTGACAACTGTGTGGTGGCTTGGTGGTGAGTTCTCTGAAATTTGAGGACCTTTCTGGACTGAGTGGCAGTTGAGAATGTATGACACTTCTGTTTCCCGTCGTCATGGATAAACTCGCCTCATCCAGCTGTGCCTCCCCTTTCCTCGCTAGCCCTCTGCAGTCTGAGGTCTCAGTTAACTGTTCTGCTTGCCTGGCTAATCTGTGGAATCCATATGTGAGAGTTGTAGTGACCTGGGACCACTTCCCAGCAAAGGGTACAGAGGTGCTATAATTGTTTCTGACAAGGATTCAACTTTGGACATGAGAGACTCGCTTTACCAGACAAGTCAAGATTTTACTGTGTTCTTTGTGGAACCAGGAGCTAAATGGGCAGCCTTTGCTGAAGATCGTGAATGTCATCTCCGAACACAGGGAAGAGCTTTGAAAACGGGATAGAAATTCAGACTATCCATTTAGGAAAGGGGCTTTTGAGGAGGTCGGTTTTGTCAAAAATCACGTATCTTTTATATTCAATATCTAGCATCAGAGTTTGAACAAATTGGCTGAGCAGTTTAGAAGTAAAAAAAAAAATTGAGTAAATGAACTGTCATTTACAACAGGGGCGAGCAGGGCCTTTGGTATTTCTTAATGTGTGGTCCAAGGCCTGGACAATCTGTCCTCGGACATATCCAGTGCCATAAAACCTTGCGGGGAGCTTGCCGTCACCTCCTGCCTTTCCATCTTCCCTTCCTGCTGAACTTCAGTTCCTCTTCCTGCTGGGTACGTTGTCCTTGCCACAGCAGCCATGTCTGTCTGCTGCTTTTAAGGAATGCAGACTTGTAGGTTGCATCTTTTCCATGTAAGTTTGAGGAGTCTGCACACACCTTCCATGCATCATCCTGGAGCCTGCTGTGGTGCAGGTCTTCACTGAGGGTGAAGGAGCATTTGGGGCCCCAACTCTCTGGACCTTTAACACACCACAGCTGTGGAGCAGGGACAGGAACTTCCAGACTGGCCATTGCTTCTGCCACTTGAAAAGGCGCCCGTGCTAGGCTTGCCACCGCCTTTGCTCCTGAGCCACCGGCTCTCCGCCTCTTGTTCTCACTCCAAGTGAATGTCTGCTGTCAGCTGTTGCCCACAAGTCACCAGTTCTGAAACAGAACTGATACTGGCCGTTGTGCACATGAGGAAACTAAGGACCACCGCGCTGACTTCCTCAGCATCTTCGGTTTCCCTGTGTGCCCTGGGCTTAGGACCTGCAGTCCTCAGCCCCTGTGTGACTGCTGTTTTCTTTAGCTTAGATCACTGCCTGATATGAGCAGGCAGCTACTTAGACCTGACTCAGTGCTTAGCTCTAGTGTGTCCATTTACGGCTACTACTACTCAGTAGTAAAGCTGCTCTTCAGGTCATGGTGGCTTCCTTTGTGGTCACCCGAGTGTTAAATCAGCTGCAAAAGGTGCCGTCTCCGGCAGGGATTCAGAGCTCACCCTTCATCAGGCTGCCCCCATTTCTCCACAAGCCTTTGATTTTATGTGTGAAGGTCTGAGAATGTTGCCCATGAGCTTGGTTTGATTTTCCACATCATTCTGGCAGTCCAGACGCATTGCTCTCCCAACACGAACCTTCGTCCTCTGTCAACTTGTAGAATTGCCCTGAGTCATTTAGTGTTGGTTTGAAGTAGACTTGAGTTAAAAACAGCTCCGATGCAGCTGTGCCGTGTTATTGGTGAGAAGGATGTGGTTGCCAGGCTGGCGTGACTAAATGTGATGTTTTTGTCAGTGATTAGGTAGGTCTGTCCAGTGTCCCGGCTATCAAGCTCCATGGTTAATAGTGAACATTGTCCTGGTGTATTTTTCTTTTTCCAAATTAAAATGCCTGCTTCTCACAGTGATTAACTCCCCAGGCACAGATCTTGCCAAGAGGAGGATGACCCTGGCATGACCCATCAGGGGCCGGGGACCAGGAGCCTGTAGAGGGGAGCGCTGATCTACAAGCATTTGATAAGGTTGCATTTCTCACCGGCCCTTTTGTGGGTGCAGTGTTCAGTCTGTCGTGGTATCCAGAGAACTGAAACATTTCAAATTGGAGCTTTTTTGCTTGAAAGCGTTTCTGCCAGGCCTTAATCCTGTTCCTCGTCCATCACAGCAGTTGGGGGACTTTGACCATGTGTTTAGAGGCTTTCCTGAAAAGGCCACAGAGAGCACAGGAGTGCAAGGGTGTCGTCATCTCTTGGTCAGGTGTGGAAGGATGCGTGTCACCACTGTAGTCGGGTGGTTCAGGTGTCACTCCTGACCAGTAGTGACCAGCACTGGGAGGATAAGGGGACGTGTATTTCCAGTTGTGTTTGACACAGCTACTCCATGGCATCCGGTTACGGTCACTGATAGCAATAGGATTTTATTATTTTCAGTCCGGTAATGATTCTTGAAATAGTAGATGTTTACACAAACTCTAAACAATAGCTCAAACTTAGGAATCTGCAGGTCTGTGATTTCTCCATACCCCTGCCATATAATGGCTTGTGCCTCTCTTCTGCAGCTGAGAAGTGGATGGAGCTCCATGGGAAGACGTGCACCATGTCCAGAACACAGACATTCATTGCCCTCATGAGTTCTGTGTTTTGGTTTGAGTTTTTTGTTGTTTTAGGGTTTTTCTTTGTCGTTGGTTTTTTTGTTTTGTTTTGCGGTGCAGGGAGTTAAATATTATTCAGTATTTACTCCAGACTAACCCTGACACCCCTGACTACCTCTTTAGTTTCTATATAGACCGGTTATCGGTTTTGGTTGAAAGGTCATTTTTTGTTGACTTAGAAAAGATTTTAAATATCTAGTTTCTTCAGTCAGTGCTGTACCATGTCACAGTACAGGTCTGTGTTCATCTGTGACAGCTTTCACATGCAGATTTGGAGAAATGTGATAGAAATGGTTTTGCACATACGGTATGAGTTTTGCTGGTGTGTGTTTAATGTGACGACACTTGCCAAAGCTGCTTGACAAACACGTCAAGAAGGATGCTTGAGTCACAACTCTAATGCAAATGTGTCGAAACAGCAGTGTGTGTCAGTGTGGTGTATTTTTGTAAACATGGTGGTGGCTTCTTTCAGTCATATAAGTACTGGATAAAAATAACATTGAAACACTGGAGGAAAATGTCACTTAGCTGTTCACAAAGCTACTTGCATTATCAGCTGTGGCGTGTGTGTGTGTGTGTGTGTGTGTGTGTGTGTGTCTCTACAGGAGAGGGACAAATTGATTGTCATCAGCAATGTGGAGGACAAAAATAGTACCCATCACCACTTTTTTAAAAGTAAAGTTTAAAGCTTTAGCTGATGCATTTACGCATTAGAGGCCACTTGTACTCTCCGTAGTATATTGAACCTTGGGAAATGCTGAGAACTGGAATTCTCACTTTTAATGACTGACTTTGTCAGTCTTGACTGTAGAAGGCAGTAAATCACCAAAAAACTTGGCTTCTGAGCTTCCATAACTGGCTGTGAGGACTGTGCTCTCCTTGGATCACAGTTTCTGAAATTGCAGTGAACGTACATCTGCTAGCGAGACCCATTTGTAAACCTGGGTCACTCTGGACAGTGGCACCCGTCCGGGTAGCCCATGCACCTCGACATGCTGCAAAACAGTTTGGTCCCGTCGGAGATCACTGCCATGGCCATAGTTAACTACAGCTACCTGAGTGTGACTCTCGATTCCCTGTGTGCTAGTTGCTTCGATAAGCACTTTAATGCATCCTTCACGGCTGCCCTCAGCTGTCACTGCCCAGGGTGCTCACTGGAGGTCACTTGGAGCTCAGGAAGCAGAATGGCCCCTTCTGTTTGCCCCCGTCAGGCATGGTTCTCAAAGTCTGCCAACACTTCAGAGTGAACGTTTTTGTTTTTTCTGATGCTGTCGAGGGAAAGCTGCCGTTTATATCTGCTTTGGAAGTCTGCAGGTGCTTAGATAACAGGTATGTGAAGCCCGGGCCTCCAGGCGTTCTCAGGGTGCTGGCATGAAGTCATGGCCTGTTTGACAACCTGTGAAGGAGACCAGAAACTCAAGGAAATGGACACATCGAAGTCTAGTTCCTTTCTATTTGTGTTCTAGGCCCCTGTGCAAAGATGCAAAGGCTTAAAAGAAAACTTGGCGTTTTGTTTTAAGACTAGATCCTCCTGGGGAACACCGGGTGACAGCACTGGGTGTTGGCCAGTGTTCCCGTCTCTGTGTGGCAGGTTTTGCAGCCTTCTGGTGACACAGTTTGGTGAGGCAGGAGGTTTAGCTGACACAGTCACTGTGCAGGCTGTAGAGGAGACTGGGTACAGAATATAGTGACCTGTTGATTTTGCCCCTGTAGTTTTAGCTTTAACATCTTTTGAGAGCATGCCAAAGCCACAAGGGGCCCGGCTTGTGCCTCTTGGGAGCAATCCCTGCTGGAGGGAACAGGGAACTTGGTCACTGTCCAGCCTGACCCTGCCCAGGCTAAGCCTTGCCTTCATGTCTCTCCTCTGCAGAATGGCGTGTTGCAGCTCCCGCTGGGGCCAGTTGCCTTTATTCTATTTTCTATGATGAATACTTGTGGAGAAACTGTGACAAATCCATTGATCCTAATATTTTTATTGTTGGAGTCTTGTGGCTTCTCTGAATAATTTCTATTTGATTGTACTGTGTGGAATTCATACACACTAGGGATATGTTAATAAAGCTAAAATGCATAGTATAATATAGAATAGCAAAAAATTTTGTGAACAATTTATATAGAAGAGTAAGTTGTTTTTTAAGTGTTAGGCCATTTCTTTTAGGAACCTAAAATGTTATAAGAGTTTTTTAAACATTCAATATTTTTAATTATAAGAGACATTTGTTACTAGAGCTAATTATTTCGGGTGTTCTAATTGGAATATTGATTTTTCTTACCTCATATACCTCTAGAATGCCACATGTTCTGTTGGGGATAAAATTGCACAATAAATGTCAAGTTATCTGTTAGATGTTTTAACTTGCGTTATTTTTTTCTTTTCGTCTGCGTGTATGGTAGGTATGCATATGTGTCTGCATCCTCATGTGTGGGGCGTACATGTGTGTGCATGTTGTATGCATTGTGGAATCCCAAGGTTTATCTTAAGAATCTTCCGCTGTGTCTCTGCTGTATTATTTTTGAGGTGAGGCTTTACAGTCAATCCCAGAGCACATTGGTAAGGCTAGTCATACTGGCCAGCCTGCTGTGGGCATCCCCTGCCCCTGCCTTCCAGACCTGGGATTACAGGCAAGCCACCACCCACACGGTATCTATGTTGAGGTCTAGGGCTCTAAACTCAGATCCTTTGGCTTGCAGTACAGGTGTTTCAGCCACTGCGCCATCTCCCCAGCCCCTGGCTTGCTGTATTGCCTCCTTTGCCAATTCATTATTACTGGTTGTTTGTTTGTGTGCTTTGCTTTTTAGTGTTTCTAGTTTCTTGTCTAGAGTCCTTTCCTCCCAAAGCTAAGGCTTTCCTGCTTGTCTCCAAATGCACGGAGATGTTCACTGCTCAACACCCAAGTAAAAGCCAGCAGGATGGCTTGGTGGGTAAAGGTGACTGCTGCCAAGCCTAAAAACAGCCAGAGTCTGATCCTCCAGATCTGCATGAAGGAGGGAGAGAGCTAACTCCACATGGTATCCTCCGACCTCCATGCATACCATAGCGTATGCGTATCCACACACATTGAATAAGTGGAATTTTAAAAAAAATCCTATTGTCTGTAATGCCAGGGAGATAACCAGAAATTCATCTGACCTAGTAGGTGGGAGAGTGGGGAGGAAGTGACGTGTGATAAGAGTATGTGCCATCAGGAAGCCTTGTAAGCCGCTCCGAACCCATGGGTATTGCCTGTGTGTGGTGTTTGAACAGTGCGCTGAGCACAGAAGGAAATTGGCCAAAAAGGGGTGTGGCTGTGGCTCCCCGCTTTGAGTTACTGCAGAAAATATGTCTGGCATAACTATTACAGAAACGCAAATTTTAGCAAATGTTATTTCGTGAGCCAGATTATGCCCACAGCCAAAGTTTCACTTTCGGGGAAATACAAAGGTGTTTATTTTTGCCCTCAAGATTGAAACTTTTAGCCGATAATTTTGTCTGAAAAACAATGCCTCCGGCAAAATAGTTTTGTTTAGAATTAGAATGTTGGTTAGACATGGTTGGAAGTTACTCTCGGGCACGGGAAGGAGAAGCCTGATGAATTAACAGTGAGCTTACACGGCTCAAAATCCAGTGTAAATAAAGCCAGTACTGCGTGAGCAGTGAGCAGTAGAGAAGAAAACGAAACAATTGCCCTTATAGTAGCAGCAAAAGAATAGGAGACTTAAAACTTTAACAAAATAAACCCCCAACACTGCAAACGATAAAATAGGGACGTTTAAGACATAAATAATGGAAAGTTCAGTAAAGGCCGTTAGAATGCAGTGTTCCAGCCGGCACTCGAGAGGCAGTTGGATCTCTGTGCGGTTGAGGCCAGCCAGAATGACCTACAGAGTGAGTTCCAGGATAGCCAAGGTTACACAGAGAAACCCTGCCTCAAAAAAAAAAAATGCAGGGCTCCCAGCTCTGGTCCCTAAGGAATAGGCAGCTGCTGCCAGGCTAACTGCCAAGGACTCTCAGGATTCATGGGAACAGAAAGGTCCCAGATACCCAACAGGATGAAAGCTACATTCACGGTAGTTGATGATTAATGAGCTGAAATGGTTCCTTGGAGGAAGAAGAGCCTTCAGCAGGTGTCACTCACACGGGGACAGCAGGATAGCCACCTCCTGCAGAGATGAAATGGGATCCCAGTATCTAGCCCCTGGAGGGAGCTCAGAGCTCCCCTCAAAGACATGCCCAGAACCTAGCCCACTTGGTGTTTGTGGATCCTCTCAAGTCGATGGCAACCATCACAGAACCCAAGAGCATCAAAATGGGCACACAGGTGTTCATAGTGTTAGGTATACAGTGGTTAAAGGTAGAAAGACTCCCGGTGCCCAAGCGGTGCTTTCAATGTTTGTTCTCCATACAGTGGAGTTAAAGGCAGAGTGCTGACGGCATAGTACTACATGAATGAACCTTCAAAATACAGAAAGTGAGCAAAGTCGAACACAAAAGACCAGCTAATATACAATTACACTTAAAAGCCCAGAATAGTCAAAAACCCAGAAAGGCACAGCTTAGAGGGTGCTTCTCGGGACACTTGACCTAACTGAGGAACCCGATGTAATCAATCCCTTCGAAACTGGTTATACCCTCAAGCAGTGTATTTGTCCAGAGCCCGATATGCCTGAGCAGTGGCATACTTTGTTCTTGGCAAACTGTAGTATAAGCCAATGGCTGAGCAACTGTTAAAGAAAACTGATAAGAATCTCCTAATGATGGGGAAAATCCATGTTCCGCTGGGCAGCTTGTTTCCAAAGGTGAAATTGTGCTGAGAAGGGGGAATCGATCATAAGTCTGACTGTCAGACCTGTCAAGGTTGACCAACGTGGTCATAGCCCTGCAGTTACAGCATCTTTCCTGGACGGTTTGATGTGCTCCCAAATGCTGGCTGGGTCACTTTCTCCTCTCCCTCTCCCCTTTAAAATCTGTCGGTCGGACCTCACCCAGGCAGTCTTAGTGATACCATGCCTGGCGTTCAGCCGGCAGCTGCAGAAAACACCTAATTCCAGGACTTTAGTAGAGAGTGAGCGCAGGCTGGCCTGACTCAGAGCTGGGAGGGCGCCTGGCCAGCTGGGAGGGGCAAGGCCAGCAGGGGACTGAAACCGGAGAGGGCTCCCTGCTAGGAAACATGATCTCCACACCATCTGAGGAGCATTGCAAGGAAGGAACCAGATTGGGAATCAACTTGCTACCACCCTTTCCTTCCCATCTCTAACTGAACACATTGGAAACCACAGTGTGAATAACCACTGTATCCAGTCAGCCAGCCCCCACCCCGCACCCCCGCACCCCCACACCCCCACCACAGGCAGGGAAGAGAGAAGACACTAGCAAGGATAAGAGGGCAAAGCAGGTGGCTGCTCCCGAGAGCTGCTTGGCCTTTAGACATTTGAATGGTTGACATTTATGGGTCATTAGGTCAAAAGTTCTGTGATCATTCTTTCATTCAGTCTTCCCAACCCACAAGGAAGTTCTGATGCCACATTGTGTGAATGAGAAAGCTGGTACTTGGAGAAGCTCCAGTGTGCAGAGCTGGGAGTCTGACTGCTTGGCTGCTCTCGTCTCAGCCCTCGGAGATATTCTCTTAAGACTTTCATCACTTGAGGTAAGGGGGGTGATGATAAAGCCGATGAAACACTACCTACCTGTAAGTCTCCCCAGCTCTGGCTGGTCCAACAAGAATGCATCTTGCTCTGTGACCCCCAAGGCTGGGCCTCAAAATCCCAAACATACTTGAATATTGCTGAGGTTAATGTTCGTAGGTAGTCTTGTGTTCATACCAGGAGGCCAAGGTAAGAACTGGCCTTCATGTTTAGGGTGGTTTGAGAGAAGATGATCCCCCAAAAGGAGTGGCACTATTAGGTGGTGTGGCTTTGTTGGAGTAGGTGTGGCCTTGTTGGAGGAAATGTGTTACTGTGGAGACGGGAGCTTTGAGGGCTCATATATGCTCGAGCCACTCCCAGTGTCTCAGACTACTTCCTGTTCCCTTGCATATCAAGATGTAGAACTCCCAGCTCCAGCACCATGTTTACCCGCATACCACCAGGTCACACCACAATGACAATAGACTTAAGCCTCTGAAAATGTAAGCCGCCCCAGTTAAATGCTGCTATGGTCACAGTGTCTTCACAGCAATAGAAACCCTAAGACAATCCTAAAGAAATATGCCGTGCAACGTCGTGAGACCCTGCCTTTAAGGGGTTGGGAGTGAAGCAGAACTGGAGAGATGTTAAAAGTGCTTGTTCCTCTTGGAGGGAACCTGAGTTTGGTTCCCAGTACATACACCAGGTCACTCCCAGTCGCCTGCAACTCCAGCCCCAAGAGATCTGACATGCTCTTCTGGCCTCTGTGGGCACAGTATTCACTTTTACACACCTACTCGTGGGCACACGCATAAACCCACACTTTCTAAAAATAAAATCTTTTTAAATCCAAACATGGAGGAGCATATTTATAATCTGGGCACTGGGAAGGAAAACTAGGTGACCCCCAGGGCTCACTGGCCAACCTAATCTACTTGGCAAGCTCCAAGCCAGTAAAAGACCCTGCCTGTCTCAAAACAAGACAACAGGCACCTGAAGAACAACATCCAAGTCTGACCACCGGTTTCCAGAGACACAGTGGAGACACTGTTTCCAGAGACACAGTGGAGACACTGTTTCCAGAGACATGCCCACAAATCATCAGGCTTGCATTGTCTTGCCAATTAAAAATGCAAGTTAGTTACAGGGGGTGGGGAGGCATGCTCGCTACTTTGATTTAAAAAGCAGGATGGGATAAAACATGCCTGAAATAAAGTATCTTAATCCTTGTATTTAATAGTTGTCGATGTTTAAGAAACTGGGTTAAATCATGGTTTCAAGTCACAGCTTTGATGTAAATATTCATCCTCCTCACACACACAGGAATGGAGATTGGTCTTGTTTTATGGCATTTCCCTTCCCAGTTTCTGCTGTAAAAATAAATATTTGTCAAAACACGAGTGCTTAAGGATCCCACTGATGGGAAGGGGAGGTAGGGTGCACTCACATAGAGTTCTCACCTGGCATGCAGGGGGCCCTGAGTTTGAGCTCCAGCTCTGCATAACTGGCCTCATGCTACATGCCTGCAATCCAACACTCAGGAGATAGAGGCAAGAAGATCAGAAGCTCAACATCTTCCTCCCATTCTTGGCGAGTTCAAGGACAGCCTGTGCTAAAAAGACCCTGCTTCAATAACAGCATCACTAATGCAAGTGGAATAGAGTAGGTAGAAGCAGGAAGAACAAAAACAGTGGAGATGTACCATAGATGTTTCTGTTGATCGAGATTTTGTCTTAAAAGTGAG